TGAGTTTCTAAAAGGGCCAAAAACCCTAATTTGGAATGGGTCGTTCCAAGAGTGGAACAGGCTGTTCCAAACTCTTCAAAAGAGGGCTAAAAAATTAACTGGAACAGGCCGTTCCGAGTTATAGAAAAGGCCTAAAGATACTTGTTTGGAACGCCCGTTCCAGGCCACCAAAGGATGTCTTAATTTTATCTCTGGAATGGGCCGTTCCAATTTCAGAACGGGCCGTTCCAGTTATAAAATTTACACACAACGGCCATGTCCAGAACGGCCCGTTTCAATTTCGGAACGGGCTGTTCTGGACCCTTTCTGAAGTCTATAAATAGACAGCTGGGGCTCATTTCTCAAGACCCCAAAAAATTTCGTCCAGCACTCCTTAGAGCTCGAAATTTCTCTCTTTTTCTCTCTCTCTCTTTCTTGAGTATTGTGAGGCAATTGTAGTGCGAAAGGTTGCCAAAAAGCACCTATCTTCCCATTTTGAAGATCCAATAGAGCTCATTCAAGAGGTATTTCAGTTAATTTCTTTTTCTCTTTTTTTATTTCTTATCTATAATAATTATTGTAATAATAGAAATAATCATGTAGACATTTTAGGGTTAATTGTATAATTTAAATTTCAAACATGTAAGTAGTTATTAACAAAAGGGGATTTAATATTTATATTATTATTGTTTATAATGTTAACTTCATCATAGGGTACCGATTGAAGGCGTTGTAGAAGTGCTTAATACCTTCCCTACACGTAACCGACCCCCGAACCTAATTCTAGTTATCAAGGCCATATTGGATTTTTAAAAACCTTTTCTTTTTCCAATGTTTTGAGTAAAATATTGGTGGCGACTCCATGAACCTATTTTCAAAACCATTAATTAAGGATTAGTCTGGTGTTCGGACATTCCTTAATTAATGAGACTTTTAAAAGGATGTCTAAACCATAGGTCGCAAGATCAGAAATTTTCGGGTTGCGACATGTATCATGGTCAAATTAATTAGAACCAATAAATACAATAATAAATAATTGAAGGGTGAAGATGAATTAAGTGAAACTTCTTGAAGCAATTTTTATAAATTGAATTTTTTTTAAAGTAGACATCTTATGTACATATTTACCCTTTGTAGGCTATAAAAACCTCTATAGGAGAGAGAAAGAGAGAGACGCTTCGTTATAGGAAGAGATTGAAAAAGAATGGGAAGGGGTTTGGAGTAGAGAAAGGGACATCGTGAGATGGGAGAGAGTAGATCTAGAAACCTCCACTGCCTCCATCGTGGATAATCTTAATTCTAATCTAAGGGTGGGTAGATGGACTCGGGTCCGTGGACCGGTCCGTAAGCCCGGGGATTTCACAGATAACGGACCCGTTTTTTTCAAATTCGCATGACTATATTTAATTTTTGAGCCTGGCCTGTGAAGTCCGCGGACTTGGCGAATTTAATCCGCGGACTCGCAGGCTAGTCCGCGGACTTCACTAATTAATAGTTTTAGATATTATAATTTTAATATTAAGTTGTGTATTTAATTTTTTAAATTATTATGACATTAAAATTATGTTTAGTTGGTATGTATTTGTCATTTAATTATTTTTATGACATTTTGATGCTTTTATTATTGAAAGTTTGGTACTATTATTTAAGTATTTGTAATTATTTTTATTTTAATATTTAGTATTTTAAACCATTTTAACTACTGATAAAGTTTAGTATGATAAAAGTTAGCTTATAAATAAAAAAAATATTTTTTCTTCTAATTTTATGTATTTTTATTTTTAAAAAATTTATTTTTTTGAACCATTATTTAGGCCCGCACCGGTCCGTTATTCGCGGATTTTGGTGGGCCAGATACGAACTTAAAAAATAAGTCCATTTATTTTACGGACCGGACTTATCCGGCCCGTATAAAACGCGAATTTTACAGACCAGGCCTTAAATGGGCTGGACCGGTCTGTATACCCACCCCTATTCTAATCCAAAGCTCCTCGAATATAACGAGCAAAGATTTAGAATTAGTTTTGATTTTTAACAGTTAACCTTGTTTTGTCTTTAGCATTAGTAAATGAGGCTCTTATGTTTTTTGTATTTTATTTCTCCATGTGAAGCATGATGAGTCCAACAAACATGTTGTAAAGGAAAGATCTGAAAAGACACTTTGTTCCATCTCCCTTTCAAACCACCTCCTCTTCGCTATTGCCACCCATAACCTTTACCTTGCCCCCCGTCTTCCAACCACCTCTCTCGATTCATGTCCTTTCTAACATTTTACGATTGTTTTAATTTAATTTTGTTAAGGATATAAAAGTAATTGAATAATTTTTAATTAAAAAACTATTTGAAAAGAAAAAATAAGTGTTGTATGGAGTTACAAATCCTGGAGATGGTGAATCACTTTCCTAAAGAGACCACCGTAGCATTCATTCTAACTAACAAAGTGAAGTTTATGATGAATGTTATGGAGAAAAGAAAGACACTAAAAAAAGGAGTTGAATATTGTCAATAAAAAAAAGGTTAACACTTTTTTGAAACAATAAAATAGTATCAAGACCTTAAGAGTATAGAAAAAAAAGTTAAGGGAAAAGAACACGCAATATTTTTATATTGATTCATCTCAACTATCGTGACTACATCCAGTTCTTGATCATGTTCTACTATCTTTTACAAAGATACAACTATTCTTTCATAAATCACTTTTGGCTCAATCTAAGTATTCTTTGACTTGCCTCTTCAAAAAACTACTCAAGTATTCTTTAAACAATAAAGCCTCTTCAAACTTCAACAACCAAGTATTCTTTACAACAAAGTTTCTTTAGATTTCAAGCAATAACATAAAGTTAAATTTGGAAAAAATCACTTTTTGTTTTTTCTAACTTTTAAGACGTGATTCAACCAAATTAAGTATAGAACTTTTATAGAAAGAATAAATGAGGTTTTTACAAATGTTATTCTCTCTTTTTTTATGAGTCTTCAAACTTCTTTTTATAGGTATTTCGTGAAAATGATTGCTACAAAACCTTAAGCATCTATCTCTCACAAGATTGTTCCATCTATCTTCATCTATCTTCCTTATAGAGAGAAGTGTTCGTTGGTGAATTAAATGTGACCATTTAATGCAATTCACCAAATTGTCACTTGTTATCTGATTAAGGAGACTACTTATCATCTTTAAGGTACCAAGCAGAAGGAATTGTTATGTGTGTTAGTCAAAAAAGACTTTTTCCAAGACTTGGCATACTTCGAGAAATTTGCTTGTCCTTTATTTGATGGAAAGCATGTCTTCATTCCTTTTTGAAGTGTGAGTACCAAAGAAGCTTTTATTCCTTTTGATCTTTTAAGGAATATGATAGGCAAAGATGACTAAGTAATCAAACATAATAAATTATATATATTAAATACATTAAGCTTACACAAATAAAGTGATTTGTCTAAAAGAGTACGCGTCATAATAACCAATCATCTATTTTAATTCGTCTTTATAGTATGATCTGAAAAATATTTCTCTGATGAAAATATTTGAATTTGTTAACATTAAAACTAATACCATGAGGAATCCAAGATCATATTTTGATCTTACAAATTCTATTGTCTTTTCTCCCCCTTTGTCATTATAAAAAAATACAAAGGTAGATAAAGGTGTGCCATCATTCAGGCAGATTGATTAGTCTTTTTTGGTAAGTTGTTAGAGCATGGCAAATAGTTGATCAAAGTTGGAGTCCATCTAAGTTCCAAAAGCTTTGTGTTTGGCATCTATGATCTCGCCAACCTGGCAGATGTAACAAACTTTGAAGTTGGTGGCATAGTAGATAATAGAGTGCTTCAAGGGTTAACATAGCAGGGATAATAGGAATGCTTGATGATGAGGCTTCAACGATATGTGTGTCCTAATTAGAGCTAGGAAGGGCTTCCAAATAAAGGCACAAAATTAACAAGAATTAGACATTGATGAGGTCCATATTTTGTTGCATACTCCTCAAGAGTGAATTAGACATTGATGAGGTCTATATTTTGTTGCATACTCCTCAAGAGTGCGAAGCCAGCTAGGAATCTTGAGCCCAAAAAACTTATCAAGCTCAATTTCCCCAAAATCATGTTCATATAAATCACATATAATGATAACAATTAGATACAAATTGAAAAGTAAAGATCAATGTAAGAATGTGAATGCATGAACTTCAAGAAGAATGCAAAAGAAAATATGCAATTGAAATTGTATAATTTTGAAAGTATATTGTTGGAATGTAAATGAAAATAAAGTGATGGTTGGAACAAAGTAATCAAGAACTTGCTTGATTCTTATTTAATCCTTTGATGAGTGACAAATGTGTAGGAAATTTTCTCAAGTTTGAATGACCAAGTTCTAACTCTTTGGTGGTTATCTAGGATGGCCATAACTGAGGAAGGAAATGATACTAGTGACTGTGTAGGAGATACATCATAATAGTGTAGATATTAGATTGACCTAAAGGACCAAAATTGTGGTGCATGGTGGTCCAATCTAGAATTTGCGCTTTCAAATAACCATTCATTACATTATATCTTTTTATTTAATTTTTAATTTAAAAAATAGAAAGTACAAAATATCTCTTTTTTCTCTAGCTTGATATAATGATAATAATGTCTATTTCATCACACAATTTATCTGTAGTCTATCTTAATTTCCCATATACTATTAATTATTGGAGGATGATTATGAAGTTAATATCGATAAAAAAAAAATTGGATCTCTTACTCTCATAAATCAACAAAGTTGTAGAAACCACAGGATTCAGGTCCCCATGACATATTATAACTTATAAGATCCATTAACATTGTCATTTGACTTGCTCCAAGTCTTTTACTGTTTCTTTCTTAGAAAATAAAATAAAATAAAAGCTATTTTTCCCTCACATTTTTGTTGCTTATTTTTAGTGTTTACGATGGCCTTTGTCTTTCCATTTTCCAAAGCATAATTCGATCGCATTATCTAATCAGAAAATTGCAAAACTTCAAGTTACATCGCAACAACAACAAACCAAAACAATATTTGTCTGAATGTGTCACCTTTTTCCTTATCATCCGAAACAATTCGCTAACAAACCATAATCTGGATATGGTTAATTCATGCATCTTTATGGTATCCATGTCATCATTTTTATGACTCGGATCGTGTCACCGTATGAATATCTTATCCCCTCCTCCCAGATCCTAATGCCCATTCTTCTCTCCCTCTCATCCACCCTTATTTATAAGAACAAAATTTTGTTTTCACTTTTCTGGGGTTGATTAAAAATGTCATCTTTTGATTAGAGAGGTTTTGGGTTTCTGGTTTGGAGTTGTGATCGTTGTTCTTGGGTTTCTTGAGGTTGGAAGAATAACAAGACTTGTAGCTTTAATATGAATCATAGTATTGTTTTGTTGCATAGTCTGTTTTTATTTAGTTTCTTCGTTTTTTAATTTTGTTTAAATCGGAAATTATTCAACTTTTGGAGTTAAACATAGGACACACCCACACCTTTATCATTTTGTGAGATCCTAGTGTGAATTCTTTTCTTATTGTACTCTTTGATACTAATCACTAACATCGAAAACAAAATACAGATCTTAGTATACTGGGTGACTCTAATATATTATTTAATCCCTTGGTAGTATTTAGTTTTGATTTGTGAGAAGGACAATATTTGCCTAGAGTTTTTTGGTCAAGGGAGGATGGATCAAATTAGTGATGAGGCTAGTGTTGACCATTTTCCAATTGGTCCTTCAGACATTCTTGGTAGGACAATTGCTTTCAGGATTCTTTTTTGCAAGTCTATGTCCCATTTTAGGCACCAGATATTTTATATGTTGTTAGATATGTTTTATAGGTTTAGGGGGTTTTTGTCATCCTTTATATCATGGTTGCACCCCAGAAACCCGCAGGGGATATTGGCAATGATGACAATAGTTGCTTTCTTGATGAAACGATACAAACATGTGAAGGTAAGGGCTAAAATGGCATATAGGAGGAAGTTTTGGAGAAACATGATGAGAACTGCTTTGACCTATGAGGAATGGGCCCATGCAGCTAAGATGCTTGATAAAGAGACTATAAAGATGAATGAATCAGACCTTTATGATGTGGAATTGGTTAGGAACAAGCTTCAAGAGCTACACCACCGTCGACAAGAAGGATCTCTTAGAGATATAATATTTTGTATGCGTGCCGATCTTGTTAGAAATTTAGGTAATATGTGTAATCCTGAACTACACATGGGTAGGCTTCAGGTGCCTAAATTAATCAAGGAGTATATAGATGAGGTTACAACTCAATTGAGAATGGTTTGTGATTCTGATTCAGAGGAGCTATCATTAGAAGAAAAGCTTTCTTTCATGCATGAAACTAGGCATGCATTTGGGAGGACAGCTTTGTTGCTAAGTGGGGGTGCTTCTCTTGGAGCTTCCCATGTGGGTGTAGTTAAAACACTGGTAGAACATAAACTCATGCCTAGGATAATTGCCGGTTCAAGTGTCGGATCCATTATGTGTTCTGTTGTTGCCACTAGGAATTGGCCTGAGCTTCAGAGCTTTTTTGAGGATTCATGGCACTCGTTGCAATTTTTTGATCAAATGGGTGGGATTTTTGCAGTTGTTAAGAGAGTCACAACATATGGTGCTGTTCATGAGATCAGACAGTTGCAAATGATGTTGAGGCATCTAACAAGCAACCTTACATTTCAAGAAGCTTATGACATGACAGGCAGAATTCTTGGGATTACAGTTTGTTCCCCAAGGAAGCATGAACCACCTAGATGTCTTAACTACTTGACTTCACCCCATGTGGTTATTTGGAGTGCAGTAACTGCTTCTTGTGCATTTCCAGGCCTTTTTGAGGCTCAAGAATTGATGGCAAAGGATAGAAGTGGAGAGATTGTTCCTTACCATCCTCCTTTTAACTTAGGTCCTGAAGAGGGCTCCACACCAGCACGCCGTTGGAGGGATGGTAGCCTGGAGATTGATTTACCTATGATGCAGTTAAAAGAGCTATTTAATGTCAATCATTTCATAGTTAGTCAGGCCAACCCTCATATTGCACCATTATTGAGATTGAAAGAATTTGTTCGGACTTATGGGGGCATCTTTGCTGCCAAGGTACATATTAATGGACTTGGACCTTTGCGAAAACACAATGGATAATGAATTCATATGCATGTTTATGTTTATTGGCATTCTTCTCATTTGCTTCTTAAATAAATTATTACTTTTATAATTTCCATTTCTTGTCATACTGCTACTTCCCCTCCTAAAGTCCCTGGCTTGAAGTATAAGGTAGTTCATCATTGTTTGACTTACTATTTAAATAAATTTCTGAAATTACTATATTATATATATAAATAAAAGGAAGATTCAAATCACACCGGTGTAATTTTATAATTTTTACTAAGTATTTTATAAGTTATAATTCAATAATTGAATTTACAAAATTTAATATAAAGTTATTGAGCGGTGTAATATTTAATAAATATATATATATAAGGGATTTGTTTACTCTAAGAGTAAGTTTATATAGACTTATTTCGTTCAATAACTTATATTTTACATCAATTTTCAATGATCCGACCGTTAAATTTAAAGTTTTTAATGCATATATGAAGTCTGCAAATTTTTAGAAAATTTGAAAATTATTTGACACTTCATTTCATTAATTCAAATTAACGGATAATCATAAAATCATTTTATACATTGATTTGAATTAATAAAACAAAGTATCAAATGATTTTTAAATTTTTTAAAAATTTACAGATTTGATATATATATTAAGAACTTTAAATTCAACTGTTGGATCGCTAAAATTTAATGTAGAATATGAGTTATTGAACGGAGTAAGTTTAGGTAGACTTAATCCTAGAGTAAACAGATCCTTCCTTATATATATATATATATATATGTATGTATGCTTTTAGGAGCCATTTGAAAATTATTTTTGTTTTCACTTTGTTTTCTGTTTTTAAAAGTTTATATGGAAATCAATGGAAATAACTTTTTGTTACTTTCTATATTCATTTTCTCTTTTCACTTTTTCCTATATAAACTTTAGAAAACAAGAAATAAAGTAAAAATAGAAAATAAAAACAGAAAATGACTTTTCGAACTAAACAACCCCTTAGCTTTTCTATGCCTTACTCATGCGTGTTTTTTTGGTATGCTGTGTACGTCTCCTTCCATCTCTGAAATATCATGCATCGTGTACTTGTTATTTATTGTTGATCAAACTCCTGTGGAGTTTTCTTCTAAAAAACTTCACTCCATGGCAATTTTTATGGGCAATCCATGAATATAAGTTTAGATCACAATAAGATCATTGCCCTCCTAATTGCAATATCACACAACTTAGTATCGTCTTTGTTGAATGTTCTTTATGCGAGCCGTTTTTTAGTGACTTAGTGTCATTAAATTTTTTAATTAAAGAATGGAGTAATAGGCCACATTTGTAGCAAAAATTGTGTTGAAAACAATTGTAAATTTCCCTCATTGTGTGTAAACTTTAGAAATTCAAGCAATTTGAAATTTTTGAAATTTAAATTATTTTAATTTCAACTTTTATCATTTTTTAAATGTTTTATTTGAATAAATCAATTTAAATTTCTTAAATTTTAAATTCTTAGTTCCGATATGATAATTTGATTTTTATCATGTCTAAAATTGATTATATATATTTAGATTTTAATATTAAATTTTATATAAAAAAAATAAATATAACCAATTTTTTAAAATATTTAATAGTTTTGAAAATTAAAATTTAATAATTTAAATTTTTTTTTGATTATTCAATAATTAAGAGATAGGAAAAAGATATAGGAAAAAGATATAAAAGATATATAGGTGAGATAAGAAAGACAAATATAAAGAATTTCAAATTCTTATATTTTTGGAAGAATTTGAAGTTCTATTATTTTAAGAAATTTCACAAATATTTAGATTTTAATTTCTTTGTAATCCTTCATCCAAACAAAATATTTCATCTTTAGACATTTAAAATTCTTTAAAAAAAATGAATTATTTTATTTAGATTTTTCATCCAAATGACCTTCATTCATTCTAATGAGAGACACGCCTTTCACTCTGAATATTAGATTCATAAATTTGTTGTGTAAATTAGTGTTTGTTCTCCTTTGCAAGACTGAGAAATAGTTGTATCCTTTAACAAATTTTATTCGTCATTTATAAGGCATATTAGACATGTTAACCAGTCTTAGTACATAATGATTGTATTGAATGTGTTTTTTATTTTTACTTCTCAGCTTGCTCATCTTGTGGAGATGGAGGTGAAACATAGGTGTAATCAAATATTGGAACTTGGTTTTCCATTAGGTGGACTTGCTAAGTTGTTTGCACAAGATTGGGAAGGTGACGTGACTGTTGTAATGCCTGCAACTCTTGCTCAGGTATGTTGCCTAAAGAACGTCAAAATTACAGCTAGATATTTAAGGAGAAAATAACTTCAACTCAATATCAGTTCAAATAAAAAGTGCTAGTTGTTAACACCAAGCCTTTTGTTATAAAACTTGTTAAGTTTCCTTGGAAACGTAAAGGAATTTAAGAATTTGTTTATGTACCATTTACTAAAGATGATCAAGTTAATAAGTGGTTAGTGAAGTTAACATACTTTGTATTTCTATAAGTATAACTGTGTGTAGTGGATAATGTAAGGAGTAATACAAATAATTGTGTAATAAAAAGTGTGAAAAAAAGAAAGTATAGAGTAGAGTAGGAATAACAATATTTATTACATTTGTATGAAAAGTTAGGATAAAAGGGTGTTAAAAAGATAGAGAAAAAAAAACAATTGAGGGGTTGAATATCCCATTTATCTATTGTTATAGATTAACTTATGCATATTGCTATTGTGGTTTTACCTGTGTCCTGCTACAGTACTCCAAAATTATACAAAACCCTTCTTATGGAGAGCTTCAAAAGGCAGCCAACCAAGGGAGAAGATGCACTTGGGAGAAACTTTCAGCCATAAAAGCAAATTGTGGCATTGAACTTGCTCTTGATGAGTGTGTTGTAATGCTCAATCATATGAGAAGACTAAAGAGAATTGCTGACAGAGCTGCAACTGCTTCTCATGGTTTGTCCAATACTGTCAAGTTCAGTGCTTCAAAAAGAATTCCTTCGTGGAATTGCATGGCACGAGAGAATTCAACAGGCTCCCTTGAAGATCTTAATGATGTTTCCTCCTCATTGCACCGTGACAGTGACTCCGAAAATGTTGATTTGCACTCTTGGACAAAATCTGGTGGGCCTTTGATGAGAACTACTTCGGCTAACATGTTTGTCGACTTTCTTCAAAACTTGGAGGTTGATACTGAACCAAATAAAGGCTTAGTGAGTCATGCTAACCCTCATGATTTTCAGTATCGTAGCCCCAGGCTCACAACACCAGATAGGAACTCTGATAGCACAGAATCTGAGCAAAGGGAAATTGGCAACAGGGTTGTCAATGGGTCTAGCATACTAGTGACTGAAGGTGATTTTTTGCAGCCTGAAAGAATTCATAATGGGATTGTGTTTAATGTTGTCAAGAAAGGAAACTTGACACCCTTAAATAGGAATCATGATTCTGAAAACTACAACAGTGAAGTTGCTGAATGTGTCCATGATGAGTGCCCACAGAAGGAGATGGATGGTGCTAGCTCAACTTCTGAATGTGGAGATGATGAATCCACACCAACTAGGTCCTCAACTGAAACTCCAAATTACAATTCCAACGGAAGTTCGGGTATAGATCAAAGCATTGTTGACAGTTAGTTTCAGGTATTAATTCTTTTTCAGTGATTTTTTAATATTTTGTTCTTACTTCCCTACCCATTGTAAATACTACTAAATCTAGGCTTGGAGGGTCTCTATTCATGATTTTGATGGAATAGCCCACCATTTGGTATACTCATAAATGTAAAGAGGAGATTTTATACACACATTCCAAAACCACATTGATAAGTATTGGTTACCACTACAGATGAATGAAATTGAGACGTGATTCGTGAGGTGGTATTCATGATAATAAACAGAATTTGATTAATTGAATTAATTATAGTATAATTAATGAGATATGAAGAGGAATAGTTTCTGATTTGCATGAACTATATATAGCTGTGATATTTGTTGTGGACAAAATTTCTTATGCATGAGAGAATAGAGACACCACAGGTTAAGTTTCTCGTGACAACTAGTTGTACTAAATTTTTGAAGCAAAGACAAAAGTATTAAGACTTGGTCATCTTAAGCTATCTTTTGAATTCTATTTTGTTCATAAGAAATGATACTAATTGCAAAATTGAGGAGGGTCAGGGTCAGTCAATACCACTTTTTTGAAAACAGGACTGACTGGTTCAACTGATCATACTGGGAATTGATCTAGAAGTGGACAGAAATCGAACAGTTTTCAAAAAGTTATAATATAACTAATGTTAATGAAATAAAAAAAAATAATATGAAAAAATTATTTGGATGTGATATGCTTTTAATTTTAGAATTTTTCAAGATACAAATTGTCACAATTTGAAGTCCTAAAATTCTTTTTAAAATATTTCTCTCTTAATTTTATTTAAAATTAGGTTTCATCATTTAAATTAACAATATTAAGACTCTTTTTAAAGAAAGGATTAAATGGATGAGACATTTATATTAATTCTAAAGTTTAAAGATATAAGTTGTTAAAACTAGTTATTTTGAAACTCTTTTATAAATTAAAAGTTCAAATTAATAGTATAAAAATAATAGAAATAATAATAGGATGTTTAATAGAGAGGAGTTTAAAGACAATAAGTTGTCATAACTTATGCTTTAAAACTTTAAGATTAAAAAGATTTAACATCTAATTAGGGCTCATTTGGATAAATAACTTAATTAAGATCTTATTTAATAAACTTTTATATAATAAGAACTTATGTTATAAATGCTTAAAATTCAATAAATTGGTTGCATTTGGTTATATATATTGACAAACATTTATATTATTTTAAAATGTTTGAATGTATTATTATCTAAGTACTTATATATAAGATATTGTCTCATTTTAAAAACTAAAATTAAATCTTGAACAGAAGTAAAATAAAAATTTTAAAAGTATTAAATAATTTTAAAAAATAAAATCATATATCACAATAATATTAAAAATAAAAAATAAATAATTAGTCATCATTCACCTAATTTTAATTTATAGAATAAAATTAATAATAAAATATGAAAAATCAATTTATATATATATATATAATCATGATTAAAATTTATGAATCATAAATTTTAAAATTAAAAATTAATTCTATATATTCTATAAAATCACGTTTGAATAAATGGGTGATCAAATATGAGAGAAAAAAAATATGCCTGATTCTACATCTTATCACTGATTGTGGCTTAGAAAATAATCCTAATTACCTAATGGGATTTAGATCAGGCTTTTAATTTCTAGTTGTGAAAATTTTTATAGAGTATTTGGATGGGGAATTTAAATGGAGTAATTCATTTATTTGGAGAATTTTAAATTCTTTGATGTAAAATACCTTATTTGAATAAAAAAATTGATAAAGAATTTGAAATTCAAGCATTTGTGAAATTTCTTGAAATAATAGAATTTCAAATTTTTCAAAAAAAGTAAGAATTTAAAACCTCTCTATTTTTTTTTCTTCTTATTTCACTTATATATTTTATCTTATCTCTTATCTCTTCATGTTTTTAATTATTGAATATTCAAAAATATTTTTAAAATTATTAAATATTATCTAATATTAATTTTTAAATTTATTAAAAATTTATAAATTAGCTAATATTTATTTTTATAAAATTTAATTTAAAAATATCAACATATAAATATATTTTTAAAATCAACTTTACCATGGGGGAATCAAATTATCATATCTAACCTAACAATTTAAAATTTAAGAAATTTGAATTAACTTATCAAAATAAAATATTTTAAGAATGAGGAATTGAAATCAAAGTAATTAAAATATCAAGAATTTAAAATTTTTTAAATTCATAAAAAATTTTAAATTTATAAAATTTCTCATCCAAACACACTATTATTATTAGAAGAAGAAAAAAACATTAACAAGTACGAAGGACGTGAAAAAAGTAAACTTGTGGCAAGCGAGTTAATGGGGAATTTTTAACGTAAATAATATTTTTTTAAAAAAATTTTACCAAAATAACACCTGTGCAACTTTATTTACACAACTAGAACCATTTACTGTTCGCACTCAGAATTCGGTTCCCAGGGAACCGAATTCTGAGCTTCAAAATTTTTTTTTTCTTTTTTTTTTGTGCTCAGAATTCGGTTCCCGGGAAACCGAATTCTGAGTTATTTTTAATTTTTTTTTTTTTGGTTTATGGCTGATTTTCCCGAGTGTGGGAAGTGGTACGGGCCGTTCTGGAATCAGAACGGCCCGTTCTGCTTAAACACATGGAGTGTTTTTTTAACATTAGAACGGGCCGTTCCAATTTAAAAAAACACTCTATCTGTTTAATCGGAACGGGCCGTTCTGCTTCCGAAACGGGCCGTTCTGCTTCCCAGACTTGCGCAAACTAGCGGAAAACGCAAAAAGAAAAAAATTAAAAACAACTCAGAATTCGGTTCCCCGGGAACCGAATTCTGAGCACAAAAAAAAATAGAAAAAAAAAATTTTGAAGCTTAGAATTCGGTTCCCGGGAACCGAATTCTGAGTGTGAACAGTAAACGGTTCTAGTTGTGTAAATAAAGTTGTACATGTGTTATTTTGGTAAAAAAAAATTTAAAAAAATATTATTTACGTAAAAAAATTCGTTAATGGGTTCATATCTTTTACGACAAAAGCGAAATTAAGAAATGACTTTAGTACTTAAAATTTTGATTAATGAAATGAAAATTATGTAATGAGTAGAAATAATAAGTCGTAAAATAGTAATCGAAACTCTTAATAGAAAAGAAAAAGATCTTATATACCTTTAACAGAGAGATTTCTAATAAAGCAGTTTTTTTAAAAAAATGTTACAAGATATTTTATATAATAAGAGAATGTGAATTTTGACAGAAGAGATAAATTTAGAGACAAAAGGAATAAGAAACAAAGAGGAATAAAGTTTTTGGAGGGATAAAAAAAAATTTATACGGGGAGTAATGAAAAAAAAGAAAAAAAAAAGAAATATATATATATATATATATAAAACTGATTTTTAATGAAAGAATAAAAAATTTAAAAATAAATAAATAAAACTATTTATATTAGAGATAAGATTTAAACATGGATATTTTTCAATAAGTTCCAATATAAATTATGTAATAAATTATATTTTATAGTTTATCAAATAAGCACAAAACATCTTAAGGAATATCTATAAGATTTTTTATAAGTTTTTTTAAATACTCTCATAGACACTTATAAAATAAGATGAGTATAAATAAGTTGTTCATAAACTCTTTCAAATAGGACCTTAATGTTTTCTTTAATAATTATTTTGTTATGATGATTAAATATTAAACTCAAATTAAATTGCTACAAAATAAAAAATTAAACAAATTAAAATGTCATAATGACAATTTGGGAGAATATTTTGTCAATTTTATATTTAAAGAGATATGATTTGATGTATCCTTATTTGGCTATTTATTTTCTCATGGCCACTGTGAAGGACATATGGTTGTATAATGCAGATTAGCTGGAATAATTAAATTGTCTGTGCAAAGGACTTGGGTCTCATGTTTAGGTACGGAATGGATCTAAAAGACAATTTTTCTCCTTTTTATTCTTACTTTTTCTTCAAATAAAAAAAATATATACATTATTATTCATGTTTTTATTTTTAATTTTTTATTGACTCTAAGATGAGTTACAAAAAGAACTTTATCCTGATGGGATTCATTTTAATAGTATAATGTCTATATATTAACTTATAAAATATATATATATATATATATATATATATTTTGGTATTTATAATTTTCTTGTCCACTTTTTCATGGGACATTATTATTCCTAAATTCATATTATATAATTATAAAAAGGAAAAATTTTGATAACTATCCTTTTAATTTTCATTTTTTCATCGCACATTAGAAATTTATACTACATCATTATAATGGAAATAAGTTTTTGTAACTACCCTTTTAACTTTCTCTTTTTCATTGGATACTATTACTCCTAGATTTAAATATCATTTCCTCTCAAAATTCCCTAAATTCCTCCCAACCGTCGCAATTTACAAGACAAAAATTGAAATAAAAATTCACACAAAGTCATGCACACTCTAAAATTATAAAATTTTACTTTAAATAAAAAATTGAAAAATAAAATCATAATGACATGTAATTACATTTAGAAATGTTAAAAAGGAAAAAATACATTAATATACTATATTAATTTTATTTCTCTATCTTTTAAAATATTTTAGAATAAAAAAGTTTTATGTTAATCCTAGGAAGCTAAAAATTAAAAAACAAATATATGTTACATTTTTTTATGTGTTAGTGAAATTAATAATACATCTTAATTGTGGATTAAATCGAGAATATTGAAAAAATAATAAATAATTTATGAAATTTATTATTTTAATGGTTAATTAAATATGAGATATTTGATAAATTAATTATCTTTTCACAAATAATAACTTAAAAATCACTTCTAGGTTTGAATATAATACACACACACACA